GGTTACAACGTACTAAGGAAGGATCGCACCAGAAGTGGAGGTGGGGGATTAGCGTTCCTGTTACACCATTCTGTTCAGTACAGACCTATCTCGCTTGAGCTAGTCTCTAGTGACCCATACATGGAATGTATGGGGGTAGCAGTCAAGTGTGGAACTGCCGAGGTAGAGGTGCTTAATGTGTATATCCCGCCGATTAATAGCTGTGAACCACGTTATTTGCCTGATATTAGCCCATTATTGGTAGGCAATAACCGCCTGGTACTAGGGGATTTTAATGCCCACCATGAGTTGTGGCATTCCGTCCTAGGTAATGACCAGAGGGGATCAGCGCTGGCAGAGCAGATTGACTGCTCCACATTCTGCACGGTTAACGAGGATGCCCCCACCCGAATAAGAGGAGAGTGTCACAGTTCGCCAGATTTAACCATAGTGTCACCCGGTCTGATAAATGACGTGACTTGGCAACCCGTCATTTCTCTTGGCTCAGACCATCTCCCGATAATCGTCTCCATAAGCAGGTCGCCCGATTTCATAACCTCTGAACGCCGCACTTTCCTTAACCATGGGAAAGCTCACTGGCCAGAGTTCAGAGAATTCACCAACCGCCGCTTCAGAGAACTGCCCAACCCTTCTGATGTTCGGGTAGCAGAAAGGATTTTCCGAAACATCATCAGAGCTGCAGCCGCTCGCTATATACCTGCTGGTCGAATACCCGAGATAAGACCAAACTTCCCAGCAGAGGCAGCGGGATTAGCAAACGAGCGTGATGATCTCCGTCGTACCAACCCTACTGATCCTAGAATCAGTGATTTGACAGTGGAAGTCAACCGGTTGGTGCAGGAGCATAAGAGGAAAAAGTGGCTAGACCATCTGAAGTGCTGCAACATTGGAACCGATATGAGTAAGCTGTGGGTAACGGTTAAGTCGCTCTCGAACCCTGGAAAAAAGGATGATAGGACCTCAGTCACTTTTAACGACGTAACGGTGACTGATCCGAAGAGGTGCGCGGAATATTTTAACCGACAATTTGTCGAGCACCCCGAGAGTGATAGGGCGAAGCGAAGAGTACTACGTCGTATCAGATCTCTTCCCGCCGAGGAGGAACCACCACAGTTTACGATGGGTGATGTTGCAAATGTCATCCGTAACGCTAAGTCATCCAAAGCGTTGGGCCCGGACGGAATCTCAATGGTAATGTTGAAGCAGCTGGATACGCCGGGAGTCGAGTACTTAACAAAAGTTCTCAATTTGTCGCTAGCCACCTACATAGTGCCCGAAACCTGGAAAATGGGCCGGGTGGTCCCGCTACTGAAGCCAGGCAAGGATGCCAGTAAAGGCGAATCGTACAGGCCGATTTCGCTTTTGTCGCCAGTAGCAAAGACTCTTGAGGCTTTACTCCTCCCCAGCATTAGAGGAAGCTATGCAGTTGCCAACCACCAGCATGGATTCCGTCCACAACATAGTACCACAACAGCATTACACGCCATTTCCACACATATTAGTAGAGGACTAAACCAGAACAGGCCGTGTGACAGAACAGTGTTGGTAGCCCTTGACCTATCAAAGGCATTTGATACGGTCAATCATGCCACACTGTTTGAGGACGTACAGAGAACTACCCTCCGGCCAAGTTTGAAACGTTGGATAATCAACTATATGTGTGGACGCCAGTCGTACGTGGAATTCCGGAACAAGAAGTCCAAAGCCCGTAGAGTGAAACAGGGAGTTCCCCAAGGTGGGGTGATATCTCCGGAACTGTTTAACCTCTACCTTTCCGGAATTCCTCGCCCTCCAGACGGCATTGAGATCGTAACGTATGCGGATGATTGTACGATCATGGCGTCGGGTCCAGTGGTCGATGACATATGCGAAAGGTTGAACCCCTATCTCGCGGAGCTTGCCGCATACTTCCACGCGAGGAATATGAAAATATCCGCCACGAAATCAACGGCCACACTCTTTACCACATGGTCTGCGGAGATGAGAACACAGCTGAATGTTCAGGTCGAGGGGAATTTAATACCGACCACGAACTACCCCAAGATTCTTGGGGTAACGTTCGACAGCATGTTCAAGTCGTCCGCGCAAGCCACAGCTATCTGCGACAAGATGAAAAGTAGGAACAAGGTCCTCAAGGCGCTAGCCGGCAGCTCTTGGGGTGCGGACAAAGAAACCTTGTTGACCTCTTATAACGCGATAGGTCGGTCTGTGGTCAACTATGCGGCTCCAGTGTGGTCTGCGAATACTAGTGCTACGCAGTGGAAGAATATCCAGACCTGCCAGAACGCTGCCCTGAGAACTGCGACAGGGTGCCTCCTCATGACACCAGTGGACCATCTACATGAGGAGGCGAAAGTCCTTCCCTTACGTCAGCATAATCATATGCTTTCGTTGCAGTACCTGCTTGGGTGTTACCGTGAGAGCCATCCCAACCATCACATGGTGGATAACTCTCCCCCACCCAGGCGTGTCAGGAAGGACATACATGATCTAGAGAGGGAGGTCCAGCGCTACAAGAGAGAGCCTCTAGATCAAGAAGCCTATCAGGCAGGTCTGAGTGGCATTCACACCGATGCAGTCGCGGATGCTATTAGCAGTTACAAAGTGAATGCCGTCCTCGGAGTCCACCCCCCATCCATTGCAGCCGAAGAACGTCAGCTGCCTAGACAAACCAGGGTAGTTTTGGCGCAATTACGTTCAGGATGGTGTAGTCGCCTCAATTCGTATTGGGCACGAATTGATGAAGATGTGCGTGACGCCTGCCCGGCGTGTGATACAGGCCCGCACAATACGCTACACCTTTTTAATTGCTCAGCCAAACCTACCCAACTCACTCCAGAGGATCTCTGGCTACAGCCCGTTAAAGTAGCCGAATTTCTAAACCTGGAGCTGGAACCAGATTAGCAGAACACAAACACACACATGTACTACTGCTACAACAACAACAACAACAACAACCTCCGATAAGATGATGTATACACTAGCAGTATGCATTGACGTCGAAGGTGCGTTCAACAACGTCAGCATAAATACACTCATCCAATCCTTAGATAATTTTCAGGTCGACCGGGCCCTAAGGGACTGGATAAACCACATGCTAAGGAATAAATGGATAAGCTGTGGACTATATGACGTTAACATAAGGGACAAAGTTGTTCAAAGAACTCCACAGGGAGGGATATTATCACCCCTCCTGCGGGTTACAACCATTAACAGTCTTCTAAGGACTTTAACCAACGAAGGCTTTGAACCAGTCTGTTATGCAGACGACGTTATAATACTTCTGAGGGGAAACAGCCCTAACTTGCTGTGCAGAATGGCCGATTCGGCTCTGGAACTTGCATATAACTGGGCCAGACCGAAACGTTAACCCGGAAAAAACAGAGATATGTCTATTCAAGAAAAAGAAAACTGGGCCATATCGTTGAACCGGTCTTCATGAACAAGACAATCAACATTTCCAATAAGGTCAACTATCTTGGTGTGATTCTAGATAGGAAACTTAATTGGAGGGACCTAATCCAAGAAAGAGCAAACAAGGCTCATAGATGTTGGGCAACGTGTAAAAGGGCCATAGGCTCTAAATGGGGTTTCAATCCAAAGATGACACACTGGCTATTCAAAAGCGTAATTCGACCTGTTCTAACATACGCATCGGTAGTCTGGTGGACAGCTATGGATAAAAAATGTAATATCAAAATGCTACAGAAAGTCCAACGAATGTGCTGTTTAAGCATTTGCGCGCAATAAGGGACAACACCAACTAGGGCATTATAGACAATTCTATTTGTGCACCCAATAGAAATTCATATACAGTATGAAGCGGCCGTCGCGGCCTTAAGGCTCAGGGCGACGGACGAGTGGATAAACAAAGGCCACGCTACATACCATCAAACAATTTTACAGGTAACACCGGGAGAATCTATAGAAAATTTTGTATCGGACCGGGTATCTGAAACTTTTGTAGCTGCCTTACCTTACCTCCCTACCAAAGATTCGTGGATCGACGGATTCCTACCACAAATGCCGACTAGAATCTGTTGTTATATAGACGGCTCAAAGCTAGGGTAGACAGCGGGACTGGGATTTTTATTGAGGAAACAAATACCGAAATCTCTTTCCGCTTGCCCGATCACAATACGATCCTGCAAGCGGAGGTCCGCAGACTGTAAACTGTCCGCCTTCTTCAAAAAACCCTTAGTCTAGAGCGCACAACAGGCATATACTGGCTTAAGTGTATGCCCAACAGGGCATGCGGCGAATTGCTTCGCCCCTCCTTTCAACCTTACCTACCCAGAAGTGAATATCTCTGGACCCGAAAAAGGTATTAGCATAAATTGTAGTGTCAGCTATAATTTGGCATACATTTTGTAGCCCCTACTGAGCTCTCGATAATTTGATTAAAACTTCCGAACATCCTATAAATAATGGATAGGTGTTTTCGCAAGCTATTTAGTTGGCGTTACCCGGTGTGGGACATACCCAGAGAAGAAAATCCCAAGCGCTGAAGGCAGCCTACTTACGACAGCTTTTAAATTTAGAAAAAAACTTTAGTTTACGTAGCCTGCTGAACGTACCCAGAAGAGAATATCTCTGGACCCGAAAAAGGTATTAGCACAAATTGGTGCATTTTTGAAAGGTAAGAGTGTCAGCTATAATTTGGCATAAGTTTTGTTGACCCCCACAATGAGCTCTCGATACAAATATATAACTTCCGAACCACTTATAAATAATGGATAGGCATTTTCATAAGCTTTCGAACGAAACCTATAATGTCTATATCGGATAAATGCATACGGGTCCAGCCCGGGTCTTGAACACGGACTTTCGGGTCAAAACTCTGGGGTCCCGGTCCACCCCAAGAAAAAAACAGCTTCCCGGAATCAGGGTAAAAATACCTACCTCTGGAAAAAAATTCGAAAAATGGAAGTTTTTACTGAACTAGAGTTGTTCCAATAAAATAAATTTAAAAGAAGGCACCATAACATAAAAATAAATACCTCTTTAACAATATCCAACTCGTTCAATAAATCTATGATTCTGTCCAATATATTTGAGTCCTCTACTAGGTTTTGCGAAAATAATGAAACCAGTTGTACTAATTTTTTTGGAGATTCCGGAACCCATGAGACTCCACTTGTTATTTGAAACAGATCGCGAATAGAATTAGCTACCGCCTTTCGTCCATCATAGTATAATAGCACGGCTACCAAGCCACGGGGAAGTCCAGGATAATGTACCATTTGATGTTGGGCAGTGCACAATAGTTCCAGTGCCAAAAACTCATCTAAATCAAACATATCGGATATAATAATACTTTCTTCAATAAGTTCCGTAGATACAGGAAAAGCTCTGCTATTTCCACTAAAAGGAACACCTTGAGTAGCACAAGCTCGAAGCTGTGACCTATTTGCTTCATTCTTAGGCTGAAAATACAACCTCAATTGATGAAACAATAAAACGTTTAACTTGAAATACTTACGGGATTTCGCAAGAGATTTACGAAAACTTGTTTATGGCGCTTAAGACACACTTCCAAACTTGAAATAGCTGATTCGTTTGGATTTATGACAGTCTGCTCTATAACTCTATAGAGATGCTTAAAAGGAGACCACATGTCATCAGGGATATCTGAAAAAATACATTTCTCAACGTGCTGTATATAAAATATTTTTGCGAGCAGTTTACCCTCCATTTTTACAACACAATAAATGCCAAAATCGCAAAAACACGCCGCCAATAAATATTTTTAACCTGGTGTTACCATATTGACCTTCATCTAAACAGTTTCACAATCGGAAATTATCGATAATTTTTCCATAAGCAGCGTTGCCATTTGCTTTGCTTTTACAGAAGACAAGATAACTTAAGGTGAGGGTACACAAGCAGCTTCGCATCATGGCTAGGCATATTCATTTCAAATTATAAAGGGACACGGCGGCAGAATTCTAATACGGCTCTGGCATACCTTTATAATATGTCACAATATGCCATGCGAAGACTTCAAGCTATGTTTATGTGCTTACACCTTGAGCTCTCGCAGGGCATAACTACAAAAGGTAGAACAAAGCTGCCCCCTAAATCAGCGCTGCTCAAGAAAAAATATCTCTTTCAAGTCAAATTTCTCTTTGCTTATTTAAATCAAGAACAAAACTGTGTTCCGTCATTATTTATACAAATATTTTTTATCTGTTTGCTTTATAAATTATTTTAGCAAACATTCATGTTTAAAAACAGTTAAATGAATCGTAAAATATGAAGAAAAAACAGAGTTTTAATTTTCTCTTAAATTATCTCTTTTTTCGGCTCATGTTCTAGAATACGGTTTTGAGCAGGTCTGCCCAAAATACAATTTGTATACCCTCCACCTTGGAAAGAAGTGTATATTAACTTTGTCATTCCGTTTGTATCATCCTCAAATATTGGTCGTAACGCTCATAAGGTATATATGTATTCATAACCATCATAAAATTCTAAGTCGATTTAACGATGTCCCTCTATCGGTTGAAATCACGATACAGCCCACATTATTTGACGTAGAAAATGTAGCAAAACAATTTGTATTGTGGCTAGGATGGTTGGTATTGAAAATGATAAATGATTGATATATCGGTCCACGTTTTGGTATAGTCCCCATATAACGGGGACTGACATGGCCAAAATCTTATATTTACGTACAACAGAATAAAAACAGCCTATAACTATATTAATCAAAAAAAAAAAAAAAAAAAAAAAAAAAAAAAAAAACGAAAGAAATAACAAAAATTATATATATATATATATATATATATATATATATATATATATATATATATATATATATATATATATGCATGTATGCAAAATTTTAGCCTTCTATCTTTGGAACAAATTGAGATAGAAGGCTAAAATTTTGCATACATGCATAGTTTACAAGTAGGCAAGTTAAGTTCGTAAATGGGCCATGTCGGTCCACGTTTTCGTCTAGCCACATAACGGTACATCCCGATATTCGCTATTTTCGTGATTTAACGAAATTATTTAAAATTTCGTATTTAAGTTCGTAATGGGTACTACAGCCTATGAAAAAAATTATTGTATGCAGGTCCATATCTTCGCATAGCCCCCATATAACGGTACCTCCCGATATGCGTTATTTTGATGATTTCAGCAACATTACTCCGCGGAATCGTTTCAAATTTCGTACTGGGAAATCCTAATGGGTACTACAACCTATGGGAAAATAATTGTATGCAGGTTCAGATCTTCGTATACCCCCATATAACCGTACCTCCCGATATTCGGTATTGTCATGATTTCAGCGACACTATTTTCCGGAATTATTTCGAATTTCGTATTTGAAGTTCGTAACGGGTACTACAGCCTAGGAAAAGAATTTTAAATGCAGGTCCACGTCCTCGTATAGCCCCCAAATAACGGTACCTCCAGATAGTCGGCATTTTGACAATTTCAGCAACACTATTTACCGGAATCGTTTCAACTTTCGTATTGACAATTTTAGACAAAGAAATGTGGCAATAATCATCAAAATACCTAATATCTGGAGGTACCGTTATATGGGAGCTATACCAAAACGTGGACCTATACATAGAATGTTTAGCAACCGCAGCCAGAAACCATTATGACCAACAAATATCAATTTTTAGACAAATACCAATTTTTAGACAAATCCGTGAAAAAATGTAGCAAAAATCGTAAAAATAACAAAAATGGGGAAGTACCGTTATAAGGGGGCTATATCCCATACATACAATATTTCGCCACACGAACTAGGTCCCATTATCATCTACAAATACCAATTTTCAGACAAATCCGTGAAAAAATATTGCAAAAATCATCACCTGTGATCAGGGATACTCAATTTTTATGGCATGTCTCTTCATGCTTCCATGGTAAATTTATGTATGGTCACTAGTATTGTCAAAGTGTGCGACCGTTTAGATATAATCATAAGGTTAATGAGTTGAAATGTCTGCTTGTTGGTAGTGGTATTGATGTTTTTGCAGTGACTGAATCTTGGCTTAAACCTGCGGTGTCTTCGAGGTCGTTGAGGGTTCCGGGGTACAAGGTTCAGCGTAATGACAGTGTTGGCCGCGTTGGTGATGCTATAGGTACGTGATATCGGAGAGTTCGGAGAGTTATGGTGTTTGTAAGTCTTTGACTTTTGCTGGTCTCTGAAGCCTTGATTGTGAATTTTTCCTTGCAGGTTGGTTATGAATTTTTCCTTGCTGGTACTTCTCAAAATGCGTTGATTTTTAGAGGGGTTGAACTCCCGGTTCATGCCGAAGAGAAGGTTATTGAGTTTCTGGATATTCGTAGGACTGACTAGCGTGGTATGGAAGACCATGTTTGTAATTTTGATTTTAGTCCTCTGTATCTTACGAATGATGTTGACCAGCAGTTGGCGTTGTTTGATTTATTGTTCCAAAATTTGTTGTCTTTTGTACCTACTGCTACCACCTGTTTTCGCCCATGCGTAATGAAAGAAGAATATTTTATAAGGAAACGTTTGGCCGTATGAGTAGTGTGCAGATATGGAAGTCGTTAAGGTGGAAATACATAAAGCGCTTATCTGGACGGCTTAAATCATCTGCTGGCTTCTTCGGAAACGAACAAAGAAGCCTGGGGCCAAAATCGAATTAAGTCAACCTAAAACTCCCTTGTCCATCTACGAAGAAGCCAGCCAAATATGTGCTTTATGTATTTCGACCCTTAAAGTCGTTTGGTTGTCTTGATGATGGTTGTGATGTCCCATTTGTTGATGTCAATTCTGTTAATAATTACTTTGGTAGTGTTGATAATTTCGATTCGGGATTTTGTGGATAGTGAGGCCATTTTGATTCTTGTAGATTTGACTGTGTGTACATGGATGATTGGTTTCCCGCTTTGAGGTTATCTGTCCCGCTGTCCCCAGCGAGAGCAAAAATGTCCCGCTTTCGAAAATACTGGATATTGATATTGATGAAAAATACATGAGTTATTTTTTTTCCCCGTGAACATATAATTTATTTGCATAGTTTTTTTCAAGCAACATTAACATTAAAATTAACTCGAAAGATTTTGTAATGCTAATGCTGGAGTTAATGTCGACGTCGTCGACGGCGTCAAATGTCAAAAAAATTGAATCGTATGAAATTCTATGAGAGCAGTTAATCTTAACGCCGTAAGAAATTCGACGCCGAAAAAGTTCAATCTGTTTCAACTTTTCGGCGTCGTCGACGGCGTTGACATTAACTCCAGCATAACAAGGGAAATCACCAAATTAAAAATGCTTATAAAAACAGAAAAAGTTTCTGTCACTCTGTCAGTACCCTAAGCATAGACGCTCTAAATTGTTCTGGTATCTTTTCATCGCGGAGTCGGAGAAGGCGAGCAAAGTCAAACAATTTATTTTCAATGTTAGTGATTGTAACATTACAATAATGCCTAAACTTTTAACATTTCTTTGCAAAATAAGTATCCATTTATAAAACAAAGAAGTGGTGAATCAGACGTTACGTGTGAAAAATGTCGTACTGATTTTAGTGTTGGACATGGTGGTGCCAGTGACATTGAGAAGCATTTAAAATCGGAAAAACACAAGCTTTCTGATCAAGCTGCCGCTTCAAGCTCGTCAATGCTTTCTTTTTTAAAAGAACAAATTTGGCGACTTCCAAAGACTTGGATATAGCTGCAGCGGAGGGTGCGTGGGCGTACCACACAGTGCAAGAAAACCACAGTATTCGTTCGAATGACTGTGCTTCAAATCTAATACAAACATGTTTTGAGCAAAAATTTAGATGTGCCCGTACAAAATCACAAGCTATAGTTGTAAATGTGCTGGCACCTATGGCGATGGACGAATTGAAAGAACACCTTCACGAAGCCCACTGCATATCTTTATTAACCGATGCTTCCAATCATGGCTCAATAAAATTATTCCCTGTTTTAGTTCGCTATTTTGTACCATACGAAGGCGTGAGAGTCAGGATTTTAGAGTTTCAAAAGCAGCCAGGCGAATCATCCGATATAATTGTGGATTATTTGAAAGAAGTATTATCTTGCAATGATTTGAATAAGAAAATTGTGGCATTTTGTGCAGACAATACAAACTGCAATTTCGGAGGAAAGAATAGAAAAGGGATAAATAATGTTTACGCGAAATTGAACCTATCCGTCGGAAGGCAGCTCATTGGGATTGTGTGTGGAGCCCATATAATTCATAATGCTATCAAAACAGCCGCAGATTGTCTCCCTGTTGACTTCGAATGCATCATTGTGAAAATTTATTCATTCTTCTACATCTACAGCATTCGGGTAGAAGTTCTGAAACAGTTCTGTAATTCCACCGACACAGAGTATCAGAAACTGTTGGGCTACAGTCAAATAAGGTGGCTTGCTTTAATGCCGGCGCTTGAGAGAATTTTAAAAATGTTTCAGCCTTTGAAAACCTATTTTCTGAGCATAGATAAATGCCCTACTATTTTAAAAACGTTTTTCGAAAATCCCAACTCTGAATTGTGGTTATATTTTTTGCACGCACAGACATCGATTTTTCATCAAGCCGTGTTGAAAATCGAGGGACAAAACGTGTCCACAATAGAGTCTGCGAATGAAATTAATCGTCTCCGAGATAACTTAGAACTTAAAGA